AGTAAATGAAACAGATATGTTGTTGTCTGATGCTAAACTGGATACCGAGAGAAGATTATGTTTTAGAGAGGGCACATGGTAAATTTGATTTAAATATAGCTTACGCTGAGAATCAGGAAGTGGTAGCAATCCCTGGCCAGAGTTTTGGATAGACAGATTGCTGCCGTTTGCAATTGAAATTGAGTCGTAGCCATTGTAGGGAACCGAGTGTTGCAGATTGGTAGCGTCGGATGTGAGATGGGAGGACGCTCCGGAGTCGAGAACCCAATCGTTAGTGGCCGCGATCTGTTGGTGTGCAGAGAGAGCCCTGTTGTTCGTGGGTGGTGCATAATTCAAATTCTGTCGATGCCAACAATTACCGGCTGAGTGTCCGAGCTTGCCGCAGATTTGACAGGTTGGACGACTTTGGTGATTACGAGAGGTAGTCGGAACCTCAGACGAAGGTTGAGATCTATCACCCTGCTGGGAACGACTGTTTGCCGATTTGCCACTGGATCTATTTTGACGACCACGGTAGTTGTTGCGATTAGTGAAAAGTGCAGTTGAATCAGATGGCACGCTATCTTGACGAAGTTGATGTTGTAGATTAATCTCCTCGCTGCTAAGGAGAGAGTACAGATCGTCAAGGCTTATGGGTTGAAGAGATGCGCGTATAGCAGATTTAAAAGAATTGTAGCTGGTCGGAAGCCCGTTCAAGGTGTAAAGAACGACGTCCTCGGTATCAACTGTGGATCCTGCTGCCGCTATGCTGTCCACCAGTTTCTTGATTTGATCAAGATACTGCTGCATTGTTCTGTCTGCCATACGGATCTGATGGAGCTCGTTCTTGAGTTGTATAACACGAGCACGATTTGTGGGTTGGAGACGCCGTTCGAGAGTGATCCAAACCTCATTGGCAGTGTGAAGAGTTATCACATAGGGAAGAATACTTGGAGAAATAGTAGAAAGAAGCGCCGAGACAAGATTACGATCGATCAGACGCCATCGATTTTGATCAAGAACGGTCGAATCTGGAGAAATAGTGGAATTGCCAGAAAGATGATCTTCGTATCCATTGGCCGCAAAATGTTGATACAGCTGAAGGCGCCAAATCGGGTAATTTTCGGAGGTTATAAGGGTGGGAACGAGGTTCTTGGTGGTGGAAATGAGGAATTTCAATTGAACCGGAATAATCAGCTCTGAATCTTGGCTGGAGAGGGTGGATTGTTGTTAATGAGAACCGACAGAAGCTTCGTCGCCCATTGAAGCAGAGGAGAAGAATGCGAAGAAAGAAGAGAAAAAAAAAATGCTGAGGAGCACTATGGCTCTGATACCATGTTGAGAGAACGAGAATGGCGATGGAGAGAAGATGAGGAAGATGATCAACAGTAAAATGTATTAATCTATCCCTTGGTTAATACAAAGTACATGACGTATATAAAGACAGAGAAAGCCACGGTAAGACCAAGAAAGTACATGCTGACGTGGAAAGTAATAAAACTACCTAAATCCTATTGGCTGTCTTAACAAGTTTCTTACTTCTTTATTGTTTAGACTATGGCTATAATTTTATTTGACTACAATTATTTTGTTACTTCCTAGAATATTTTGTCATGAGAAATTACTTTTTACAATTAAAATTAAAATGTTAAAAAATTAGTTGTTCGACTTAAAAAAAAATGAAGTATAAAATGCCCACATCAATTTTTAAAAAAAATTATTTCTCTAACAACTTCATAATCATTTTTACAATCCAACAAAAGCTCCAAACAGATCCTTAAGCAATCATAATGTTTTGTACCAAATTTTATATATTGTTCGTGCAATAAAAAAATTTCAAATTTATTCCTAAATCATTATTTCTATTCTATTATCTCATAAATAATTAAAAAAAAAAACAAACTTTCAAATTTCAAAAAGGTTTTTAATTTTTTCTTATTTTTTTCGGTGGTTGCTTTTCTTACTACAAAACAAAACATGAAACCATCCTAAATAAACCTATTAGAGCTTTGCTTTTTCAAAAGGCGAAAAAACAAATAAAAGATAAATGCAATATAATTATCTAATCTTAACTATTTTGTTTTTATTATCAACTTTTTAAAAAAATTATTTAACGATCATTATTTCTATCCTATTTTCTGAATAACTTTTATAAAATAAAATTTAAAACTTTAACAACTATAAATTTATTTTAACATCAATATAATATAGCTTTTTATATGTGATATATCATCAAAAAATTATCTTTATCAGACACGAATCTCGAGGCAAAATCAAGCCAAAAACTTCAAAAATTAATTTCGGGATCACCTAATCTCCGATTTGAGCGAACTTACTGTCAAACTGAGCGTCTCAGAAATACGAACCCAACGACACCAAATTCAACTGAATTCAAGCCCAAATGAGTCCAAATCAAGGACCTGAAGCTTTGTTGGAAAGTTCATACCACAATTTGAGTTACCAAACAGTTTCCAAATATGTCATTCTTATAATAAAATCGAGCAGCCCGACGAGACGAATCCAACGAGCCCAAGATCGCCAAATTTCAATATCATTAAAACCTTCAAATGTCTGATGAACAATACACGATCAAGGGATTCATTATCGGTCGTCCATCCGACCACTCCCTATTTATTCATGATCTCTCACCTATTTACAAGTCATGCCACTCCATAATATCTAAAAATAGATCCCTTATTTCTCATGGGGGGG